GTAGCTTTTTATTTTTTTTTTTTTTTTTTTTTTTTTTGCTAGAGGCGAAGTAATATTTAAATAATTAGAAAAAATAACAAAAGTTTCTTACATGATTGCATATGATCATTAACCGAATTAAGTATGATAACATGAATTAAAAAAAAAAAGATAAATTTTATTTTTAATTTAAATTCGAATTTTAGAACTTTATCTATAAATTCAAAATTATCTTTTAATTCAAATTCCATATANATATTTGTATTTAACTAAAATAGTCAAATATAAAATAAAATTATCATATACTATTGACATTTATTAACTTGCCACTTGGCTTAACCATAATGTCAATTATATATGGTAACTTTCTTACTTTAATATATATATATATATATATATATATATATATATATATATATATATATATATATATATATATATATATATATAGAGAGAGAGAGAGAGAGAGAGAGAGATATTTTAAATTGGTTGGTTATAAGAGAAAAGATGTTACATGGAAAGTGTTAGGATACCCGTAAATGCTGTGAGATTTTTTGTAAAATTTTTGATCAAAGCGGGTAGTATCATAATATGTTAAGGGTATCTTTGGACTAAATTTAAAGAGTTTGCCTTTCTTTCTTCTTTTTTCTTTTAAAAAAAAATTCTATCATTTTCTTAAACCTAAGTTGAACCAGTCTTTTGCATGACTTGGTTCGAGTTAAACCAGTTTAAGCCTAAAATTAAAGAATAAATTCCACATGTCACAAGTTAACTAAAAATAAATAACGAATGTATAGTACATATATAATCCATTATAGCGTATATATAATCGTGTATAATTTATATATATTGTCAGAAAAAAATTAAAAAGTCAATCCGACCGGTTATTTATATAAAGATCTTTTGTTTTCTTTCCCCTTTGGGCCCAAAAGGCCTTTATCCTGTGCGACGTGGAGACTTGCCAAATACATTCGAGAGGGGGATTTGCATCTATACCCGATTTTTGGGTCACGTTTTAATTTATACCCTCTTTGTAAAAAAAATTGTAAGCGTACCCACTTTTCGCGTAAACTTCAGGCATACGGGCCTGAAGTAGCAAAGGCAATCACGCAAACTTCAGCATTCTAGTAGACGAGCCTGAAGTTGTTTGTAATTGCTGAACTTAAGCATTCTACTAGCTGAAGTTTTGTTCTCTATAATTTGTTGAACTTCAACATGTTTTAGCTGAAGTTTTGTCCTGGATTCAATAGTTTTGTCGTAAAGTTTTTTCAAAAACTTCAGCAGAAGAGTTCATTTGTAAAAGTTTCAGCACTAAATAAGCTGAACTTTTGTGCAACATTTTAGCGATGCAGAAATTCATATATTTGATCGTTAAGGTAACGATACTTCTGGACAGCCATGGAAGTAGCTCATTTTCAGCTTCATCTCTTAGTATTTGCTTTGTTTTCTGAGGAATCCAATTCAAGTATAATACAGCAGTAATATTTAGTAGCAGTGCTAGAATTATGGAGTACCAAGTTGCCCCGTTCATGTTGATCAGTAACTGAAATTCCTGTAGTTTTGATTCCAATCTTGGACCTATTTTTAGTTTCTCCTTTTTTTGTCAGTGTTTTCAGAAAAAGAAAGGAGGAAGAAAGGAGCGCACAGGTAGCAGGAAGAATGAGGGGCATGAAGTTGTAAAAATTAGGGTATAGGTTAAATAATTTTAAAAATATGGGTATGGGTTAAATGAGGGCGACCAAATAGGGCGCCCCATGCAATTTTTACCATTCGAGAAGGGAATGTTGTAAATTGGAAAAACTTCATAGCCACTCTCAAAATAATAGCCGAAAATTATATTTTTTTTGTAGATTTTATATATATATATATATATATATATATATATATGCATTCTATATGTTATATAAAAAATTATACAAATTTTATACACTTTTTCGACTACTAAATATAAATAATTTCTAATGCGGGCTAAAAGTAATAATACCCCGATAAATTTTCTTGGCTAAAAAGGGTCAGGGCGACAATTCTGCCACCACAAAAAAGTACTTGACAAAACATGAACAACACTTTCTAAATGTAGTTGTGAGAAAAAGAAAAGGACCATTTGTTTTCCTTTTACTTCTCCTTGACTTAAAATTTTCAGACTACAAAAGCATGGTTGTTACTTTGACATGAATAAACAAGAAGGCTAACAATACCATTAGACAAGTAAATAGCAAAGAGTTAGAGTAAAGTGTAGAACTCCCAGACTCTTCATCACCATCATAGTCTTCTGCGTCGCCGGAAATCGCCACCAAATCTTCTCCGCCACCATCCACCGCGCCATCGGTGTCATTGGTGGCAGCAGTCCATTTACCACTGTTGCTTCCCCTGCTCATTGTTATAAGATAGAGTCAATTCAAAGACAAGAATCATGCCCATGTTATCAATTTGAGGTTATTTAGCTAAGTTGTAACGACTTATCTAATTATTTGGTCATGTAACTAAAGGGATTTCATTAGTAATCTATGTCTACTAAATTTTAGGAAAAAATAGGGATTTTTACACTAATAGCCGGTCGAATTTACTGTTACTTTTTCTAGCCAGTATACAATAATTATACAAAATTAGGGCTGTCAAATTTGGCCCAAGCCCAAATGACCCGCCCAACCCGCTCAAGGTTGGGTTGGTTATTGACCCGCCATTTATTGAACTTAGCCCATCTTGACCCAACCCATCTCAACCCATTTAAAGTTGGGCTAATTTTTAGCCCAAATTGATCCATGAGTAAGTTTGTCAAAATATCTTAGAAATAATTTTATTTTTTGTTTAATATTTTAAATATGACCATAACAAAAGCAAAAAAGCCTTATTTAGTAATTATACAATTTATAAGAAAATAACACATATTAATTAAAGTTTAATAAGAGTTGGGCGGGTTGGGTTATGACCCGAATTTTAGCCCATCTTGACCCAACCCATCTTAGCCCAAGTAACTTTTGGACTGGTCATTTGACCCGCCTAATTATTGACTCAACCCATTTTGACCCGCCCAAAATTGACCCAACCCACCCATTTGACACCCCTATACAAAATTATATACATATTATACATGAATTATACGTATAATATATATCCACCGGCTATTTTAAGTTTAAAAGCTTGAGTAGATGGCTATTTAAGTTAATCCTTTTAAAAAATTACAATATTAAACCATTAAGCAAAAGAGCAAAGCTATTCTTGAAAAAATCAACTTCAGACACATTTTCTTAAGACATACTCCTTCCGTCCCAATTTATAAACGTTGCGTGAATTTTGAGAGTCAAACGAATTATTCTTTGATCATAAATTTTTTATATGCCTTTTAAATATTTTGAATTATTAATTATTATGACTTATAATACTAATTTTCAAATATATAAATTTTATTTCAAAAAACTTAAAAAATTTATGCTTAAATACACGGTCAAAATTAAGAAGTTTGATTCATGAAAAGCGAAAAGCGTCACATAAATTACGACAAAGGGAACACTAATTATTGTGTCACTCATAAAGTAAGCAGCCCAAATTATTACTAGTATTAATTACCAAAGACAAAGTCTAAGAGGGGCTAATTAAAGTGTTGATTACTCTACTAGCATAAAGGACAAAAGGGAGAAAAATGAAGAGAGAGAAAAAGAAAAAGTATAGGGGGAAAAAGTGAAAAAGAAGGAAAGTAAAAGGACCTGTGAATAAGAACACCAGCATTCATTGTAATTTGGTCGATGAAATCAGCAGACTTGGGCTCCACACTATAAGCCTTCTCATATTTAACTTCAACTCCTTCACCTGAGGCCACAAAGTATGCTCCATTTGCCATTACATCCCCTTCACTTCTCCAATTCCAATTCCTCCATTTTTCTTCTCCTGTATCCACTCTTTTTGTTACCTATGTCCCACAAAAAACATCTTAAATGAGCATCCAATGCAACTTGGTTAAACAAATGACATATAAATAATTAATTATCTTAGTTAAAAGAGTAGATGTTCTTTATCCTATATCGCATCGAGATAATACCAATAAGGGTTGCGGCGGAGGAATAAATAATTATTCATCCTTAAGCAAAAGTGACGATTTTGAGCCTTTGATATGCAATCACCCCCCAATGTCGGATTTTTGAGCATGAATCCAAATTCGAACTTTATGGATTAAAATTCGAAATTTTATAGCAACACATTTAATTTGCTGGGTTCAAAATTATTTTTGTACTTACTAATAGCACGTCTAGCCGCATCTTTTTTTTTTACCAAAAGTATTTTTTCTAAAGTCAAGATGTTTGGCCAATATTATAGAAAAAAGAAAAGTGTTTTCGAGTAGAAGCAAAAGCAGTTTTTAAAAAGCAGAAAAATAGTTTTTCCCTACAAGCACTTTTCTGAAAAAAATCCTTTTGAGAAAAATATAATTAGAAGTAGTTTTTATAAGATTAACCAAATATTAATTGATGCTTAAAAGTACTTTTAAAATTGATTAGCCAAACACAAACTACTTTTTACCAGATAACTTTTTTGAAAAGCACTTTTCAAAAAAAGTTAATTTTAGAAGCACGACGAAACAAGCTATTAGTGAATTTTTTGACAAAAATACAAAATATTAGCCAAAACTAGTGAATTCAAATGAACCTGCAAATTATACATCGAATCCCTCCCGGGACGAGTATAATATTTTCTTTTTGGTATTTCATGTAATATTTTTTATAATTATGGTAAAAAATTTGGATATAAAAAAAATTAGACTAAATAGTTTTTCAATTTTAAAGGGAAAAGAATAAAAAAGAGTACTTACCTCTTTAGCAAAAGGGTTGAAAGGTGCAATATATCGATTTCCTTGACTGTTGATAGTAGGATTACCACTTCCTCCAATTGCATACATTTCCCATCTTGTAAAATCATTATTCACAACATGAATATAACCTCTTCTACACCTTGGCATTCTTTGAATTAATTTCTTCCCAAAATGATTAAAAGAAATTGTCACTTGCATTCCTGAATCTGGCAAATAATCATCACTATGACCTAATAACATTACCTCATTATGATGTGAAAAATGATTATTTGATATTGTAATACCAGTAGACCCCATTACTACATCAATTAAACCATCTTTACAATTTGATAATGAACAATGGTCTATCCAAATATCTCTTGATCCAAATATAGAAATTCCATCTCCATCTGATTTTGTTCTCCAACCAAAATGTGTAGGACTAGATCTTATATTAGTTTCACCAGATTCATAACAATGATGTATATGAATATTATGTATAATAACGTTTGAGATATATTGTAACGTTACGCACCCTCCACCAGTAATGTGAACGTTAACTCCGCGACCATCTAGGGTTTTATACGAGTTGAAAATGAGTTCTTCTGAGAGTTTGATTTCCATGTTAGCGGCAAAGACAATCCATAATGGTTCTTCTTGAATGACGCCGTATCGGAGAGTGCCAGGTGGCGGGCTGACAGGGTCAGGGTCCGAGGACGAGGTGACAACATAGTAACGACCACCTTTGCCACCTAAGGCGTATTGGCCAAAACCTATGGCACAATCGGCTAGTCTTTGGCGATTTAATTGCCAATTATGGTCACATCTCCAACAATCATCGATAGGATTGCCAGTTTGGCAAGATTGATCACTAGGGGTGTAGGACAACATTTTTCTTCTTGATTGGAGTAGTGAGAGTGATGCATTCACTTTTCTGCAATACATTAATGAAAAAAGTTTAATTTCTAGCCACAAATAGTATTAATGTTACAACATGTTACTCTTCTTCCTAATTTATGTAAGTCCGTTTGACTAGTCATTAAGTTTAAGAAAAGATGAATTTTGAAATTATGGCATAAAACAAGACATAGGCATTTATGTAGCTATAAACCGTTTCATTAAGGATAAAATAAGAAATTTAGAGTTAAATTATTTCTAAATACAGAAAGATGTCATTTTTTTGGAGCAGATTAATGGAATATCGACATGCTATAATATTTTAAAATAAATTAATAATGTAAAAATTCTCAAATCCTAATAAAAAAGATTTGAGTAAAGAATATAGGTCTCTATGGACAATACTGTAAAAATGCAGAAATTGTTTCCCACTCTATGCTTGTACTAACATGGTAAAAGTTCCAATAGGTCACACAACAGTTGCAAAACAGAGAGAGAGAGAGAGAGAGAGAGAGAGAGAGAGAGAGAGAGAGAGAGAGAGAGAGAGAGAGAGAGGCAAATGGATTCTATTGTTGAAAGGAAATCCACAAATTAAAGCTATCAGAGGACCTACAACTAGATACTCAGACAAGAAAAAAGCAGAAAAGAGAACATAAGAAACCAATAAATACACATATCTACCTACATCAAGTACTCTTAATAGTTAATTAAAGCTCATAAAGCCATAAGAAACAAGAAAATCCCATTTAATCAAAGAAAAAATAACTCATTATTTTAAAGAGTAGCCTTGGAACAAGGTAAAATAGCTCATTATTTTAAAGAGGAGCCGTTGAGCAATAGTAAAGTTGTTTCCACAAGATTTATAGGTTAGGCGTTCGAGCCATGGATCAACCATTGATACTTGCTTCAAGATAGGCTGCCTACGTTACACTAACTTAGGGTGCGGCCCTTACCCGAACCCTACGCCGGAATACTCCATGTACTGGCTGCCTTCTTTTCTTGAATGTAAGAGGGAGAAATAATTTAAAACCATATTCTTGAAAAAAATGAAAAAGAATAAAATGTTAAATGTGGTACTATTAACAAAACTTCAAGAAAGAGGGAGTCCTACATTATATTGTGGAATTAATGTGGAAAACAGAAGAGCAAGTAGAAGCAAAAGAGAACGACATAAAACAAGGAGTTGAAGCTTAAAAAAATGGTAAATGTAATACCTATTAACTTCAAGAACAACAGCTTCAGGATCAGGATGCTGACCAGGAAGAGTAAGGTTCATAAACATACCCAAACCAAAGTGAAAAAATGAAGTGAAAATCAAGAAAATCACAATGCAGCTTCTTTCTAGCATTTTTCCTATACTATATAACTCTAGTTTGGTGGTTTTTAGTGGTTTGGGGTCAGTGAGTTAGCTGCATTATGGAGAAATATGAAGTTTGTGTTAGTGAGAAAATGGAGTGTGTGTGTGTGTGTGTAAACTGTGTACTGTGTGAGAAGATAACAAAGGGTCTTGGGCTGTCTATTTCTACTCAGAGTAGTAGAGATGATATTCTACTTTATGACATGATTTATAGTCATTGTTAAGAGAATCTCTCACCTGGATTCACTCATGCTTTATTAGTGAAAAAGCAACAGAGTATATTGAATTTTGAGGGTTTTCTTTCTTTTCACCCCACCCCCTCTCTTTTCCCCCCCACCAATTTAAAACAACTAAAAAGAAAAAAATATATATGACCAAAATAAAATTGTGTGCCTGGGAATGTCAAGTCTATTCACAGTGCTTACACTTTTTTGGTCTCGTAGGATTAAGGATGTAGTTAGGGGCTGAGCTAGAAGTTTGGATACGGGTTCGATCGAATTCAGTAGTTTTTTTTTCCAAATACTGGTATATTTGTGCTAAAAAATTCATTAAATATGTAGAAATATTAAAGTTAGAACTTAATTACTAGTGCTTGATGTGATGACCCAAAAGGTCATCTCTTATTTTAGAAGTCGAATCCTTGTTCCGAGGCCTTAAAAACCTCCTTTTATCTCTCCTCGATTTGCGTGCGCCGTCCGGACGCGATTCCGGAAAGCCTTTATGTGAAAATTCGAGAAAATAATAATTTTTGCCTTTAAAAGTTGATTTTAGTTGACTTCGGTCAACATTTTGGGTAAACTGACCCGCACCCGTGTTCCGACGGTCCCGGAGGGTCCGTAGTAAAATATGGGACCTGGGCGTATGCCCGGAATCGAATTCTGAGGTCCCTATCCCAAGAAATAAATTTTTGAAAGAAATTGATAAGACTGAAAATGCAATAATTCAAAAGATTTGATCTTGTTGGTATCGGGCCCGTATTTTGGTTCCGGAGCCCGGTACAGGTCCGTTATGATATTTGAACCTTATATGTGAAATTTGGTGAAAAACGAAAGTGATTTGATGTGATTCGGACCTTTGGTTGAGTAAATAGAAAGTTTGAAACTATCTTGAAAATTTCATGTGTTTTGGTATTGAATTCATGGTTCTAGGTGTTATTTTGGCGATTTGATCGCAGGAGCAAGTTCGTATGATGTTTTAAGACTTGTGTGCATGTTTGGTTTAGAGCCCCGAGGGCTCGGATGAGTTTTGGATAGGCTACGGAGTGATTTTGGAACTTAGAGAATTGCTGGTACAGTGGTATCTGTTGCAGGCCTCTGATCTCGCAATTGCGAGATCAGGCTTCGCAAATACGAGCAAAGCAGGCATGGCAATTGCGAGGTCTTTATCTCAATTACAAAGAAGACCTGGGTGATCGCGCCCAACTATGCCTTATAAAAAGGACAATGCGGACGTTGCAAATATAACCCGAGTATTACGCCCAGGGTCGAATCCACAGAGAGTTAACCTATCAATCACTATTTTTAGATCCACTAAACTCTTCAGAACCAGTTTCCTAGATGTTTGAATTACAGTTGAAGGTTGCTTTACTAACTACGATTGCAAGTAAATTAAACAGCTGTAAATTAAAATGCTAAGGTTGTAAACAATGATGAGAAGAAGCTAAGGCAATGATTTCCCCTATTGAAGGAATCCCTTCTGTTTATGCTCATACAAATTTACCAACACATCTCTATCAATCATGAACGCTCATCTTACCGTAAATCTCTCCCGAGTAATCACAGTAATATACTAATTGCACTCTCCCGAGATACACTAGCTTACTTTATTTCGCATACTTCACTTTAAATTACACCCAAGGCTTCGTTATCCCTAATCCCGCCTTTAAACCCGCAATTATAGATTCCTCTTATACTTTGGGAGTGGTGTTGTTCAACAATAACCTAAATATGCACTATTTTCCAAGTTATGCACATTAAATAGGCACAGCTAATTGAGGATCCTGTCAATTAACTATAACAAGCACAAGTTGAACAAATAGAGATTGAAACTAGAAATTTGTATTCACATAAACAAGATGTTCATCCCCCAATAGGTTCCATCAAAGCCTTAGACAAAGGATTTAGCTACTCATGGCTATGGGAAAACAAACTAAGATAGAATTCATCATAAATAGATTCAATTTCATCACAATTAGCAAAAACAAAGAGAAGAAACAAAGAACTTGATGATCCAAATCCCTCCTTGCCTCTTGCCTCTCTATTTCTTGCTTTAGCCTATGAAAACCCTTGATTATTTGGCTTGGGCGAGCTTACTTTATATAGGTTAAGTAGGTTTCTTTCCAGATTTCCAATTTTACCCCCAAATAGCTCTTTTCCGGACCGGCACCGCGCGACTTCGCTCGCCTTTCGCGCGGTTTTCGCGCGCCCTTTCTGTCTCAGCTTGTAACATGCGCGAACTCTGCGCGACTTCGCGCGGTCTTCGCGCGCCTGGGGCTTGATTCCTTCCAATTTTTCGTCTTGTTCTTGCATGTACTCAACTCCGAGGGATCGTTTTTTTTTGCCCATAAATCATTCCAATAACCTCTTGAAAGCATCATATAAGCTCCTCACCCTGCAATGTACACAAATCACAATTAGAGCCTATTTTTCATCAAATAACCATATTATGTCATTGAAATGTGATTAAACGGAAGCATAAACAATAGCTAAATCGCCTAGATTTCGCCTATTATCAATAAGTAAAGGATATACCTCATATTTGTTTGAGATCTTTACATAAATAGCCGATATGATTCGCTATTTTGTTTTTCTACTCGATATATGTAAAATTATACGTTGAATATATATGGTTACACATATCATACATGCATTATATCAGTGGCAGAGTCAGGATTTTCATTAAGGGGAGTCAAATATAAAGAAATGAACTCACCAATAAGTCAAAGAATGTCATTATATAGCATATATATATCTTTTTAAAAAATTTACCGAGAACTGTGTAACTTTTACGAAGGGTTGACACTCCTTCGGTGCATGTGGCTCCGCCACTATATTATACATCTATTAGTTATTTTTAGTTCAAACGGTTGGACATACGACTATCTAATTAATTCTTCTATTTGTTTTTGTTGCATAAAACTATACCAAACATATAATTAACCTTCTATTTTGTTGGATAATTTTGATGTTCCCCTTTGTTTCTCTCCAAGAGAGATGGAAAGAGTGTGTGTTTGTGTATGAGTGTGTTCCTGTTAGAGTTAAAAACATCTTGATTTGCCCAACTTCAAAAATTTACCTGTTCTATAGCGTAATAATTAAGAGTGCAATAGAAATGCAGTTGATTTGACCTTGAACCGCGTCTCTTCCTTGTTTTGTACTTTCGTCAAACCAAATAAAAAATAATAATAATAACAATTCTAGTCATTCGAATTAAATAATATCCTCTCCAGAGTCCCCTATAAATAAAGCCACTTGTCAAAACCCTATCAAGAAGTATTTGCCGTAATAGAGTCAAATTCCTTTTTTTTTTAAAGAAAATTTTGTCAAAAATTGTTTCTAGTAAACACCTTTTGCCATTATTCTAGCTAAAAACATTCAAAATCACACTAAAAACATAGAATCAAATTATATTGTTGCTTCAATAGTAGATATCATATAGCTTGCCTCCTTTAGTGCCAAGTGTAATTTCCTTTTCAAGGAAAGTAGGAAACTGTTTATGTTGTCACAAGTCCTTGGATTTATCCTGCTCTAGATAGTGTTTGTTTTTATCCACGAATAGTGTTCTGGCAAATGTTTACATTATCAAATTATCTAAAATTAATTGCAGATAGTTTTCGATACTAAACATGTATAGATAACTTAAAAAAAGAGGAGAAATAACCTGTTAAAAATAATGAATCTACAGTGATACGTAAAAATAGTTTATACTGCAAGTGTGAAAATTGAATCCCTTCTAGATAATGTGAGAGACAGTTGAATTAAGCAAACTAAAATGACATAAGTGANACACTGGTCAATGAAAAATAGCCAGCGTTTATCAAGTCAATGAAAAATAGCCACTATTTTGCTGCAACAGGGACCGGTCCAGTATAATATACGGGAGTTCTGGTGCATTTGTGTACGAACTCCAGCATATTATGCTGGACCGGTATACTTTGCTAACTCCTGTAAAATTTGCGGGAGACTGGAGCACCAGTGCTCCAAACTCCAGTATATTATACTGGACAATTATACTTGCTGGAACTCCCGTAAAATTTGCGGGAGTTCCAGCATAATTATGCTTGAACTCCCGTAAAATTTGCGGGAGTTCCAGCATAGTTATCCTGGAACTCCCGTAAAATTTACGGGAGTTCAAGCATACTTATGCTGGAACTCCCGTAAAATTTGCGGGCGTATTTTTCCGGATTTTGAACAGTGTTTTCGCTCAGATTTAGAGTGGCTAAATTTCGATGACTTTTAAAACTTGGCTATTTTTCAACGACCAGTGGTAAATCTGGCAATTTTTGAATTTCTCCCAAAAATATCTTCACTTTAGTGCTCAACTGCCTAGGAAGTCACATAAGAACCAACTACGTGTCTAAATCCAACATGTCCTTTCTAGCACCGGCAAGAATAGTGGTCACACCCACTTTTTATCTGAGAATTTATAATGTCAAATTAATACAGGCTAAAGTGCAAATCTTAAAGGGGACAAAACATAATTTCATAAATATTTGTTATGTAGCATCAGTACATGTAGTCATGTACGTACCATATAGGTATACTTCAAAGTTTAGGTAATTCTATAATATATATATATACCAAAATTTAGATAAATGTGAAGAAATTACCTATTATTTTTTGTCCTTATTTGACTAATCTTTCATGTTTTCGCCCGCAATTAACCATTAGATATCACCTGTATTTTTAGATTTTTATTACTACTTGATATTTCTTTCGTTTTTATTTTCTTAATATCTTGCTGGTATTACTACTTATATTAGTTGCTACTGCTTATTTTTTCACCTTTTCTTGAGGCGAGGCCATATTTGAAACAGCCTCTATACCTTCTCAAGATAAGGTAAGGTCTGCAACACGCTACCCTCCCCAAACCCCACTTGTAAGATTACACTAGGTTTGTTGTTGTTTTAGATCACACCCTTAGGTGCTCCGGAATTACTTTATTCCTACCAAAGTTTGTAGACGAGCAACGAGGCATAGTTTTGGGACCCCTAGTACGAAATGATAGCTATCACCGCATCCATAATTTACTACTAGTAGTAAGTCTTTTGCTGATCGACTGATCTACAAATTCTAATTTATGATTTGACTTGGTTGCAGAACTCAGCAACTAATCAAACATGGACAAACACACGCACCTAGCCAGTCGGTACCTTTGTCTTTTATCATAATACATATAGAGCCATCTAATGTATATGTCATAGCAGATTTTTCAAAAGATTTCCAATTTGTTGCATTCTGGAGCTCAGGTCCATATGGATGTTACTAATGCTATGATTTCCAGAAAAGTAGTAAATAATACATATAGAGCCATCTAATGTATATGTCATAGCAGATTTTTCAAAAGATTTCCAATTTGTTGCATTCTGGAGCTCTGGTCCATATGGATGTTACTAATGCTATGATTTCCAGAAAAGTAGTAAATAAGATAACACGAAATCTACTCTGGAGCTCGTCTAGCTATAGAAAACACAGGCGCTCCTCTTAAATCTTAAATGCCATCACAGTTTGAACTGCAATTTACTTAGCAATGAGAAGGTAAATTTTCTTTATTAGGCTTGAATTTACCAATCAATCGCAACACCTGAGAAATCAGCAATAGTCCCAAAATACGGAAAAGTATAAAACAGGGAATCTCCAACCACAAAATCCAACAAAAAAAGTAAGGGAAGAGAATGGAGATAGGAGAAAAAATAGAGAAGTAGCATAAAGAAAAGGACACAATACTGAAGGCTGAAAATGCAACTTTTCAACAATTATGATGCGATAAAATGCTTCTTTTGCAGCAGTAAGACCTGGCCATCTAGGAAACTTACACTAACTTGAATACACTGTTGATCACTGCAGTAACTTGAATTCTACAGAGTGTAGATTTGTAGATAAAGTAGTTGGAAGGGCAATTATATGGAGTGTATATTCCAGTAAGCTTCCAATAAACACGAACTTATAACCTTCAACTCTTTGATTGACACTTCAGCATAATGTGCTCGGCAAAAGTAAAAGAATTTTTGTTCCATGAAATTCAGGGTTGCTACGAGTTCAAAATGATACATTCAGTCATTACGTCTACGCCTCCGAAAATGCCTGAGAATAAAGCTGTCAGCGTAGAGTGGATAGTTTTTTCTGATTAACCCCTTTATGCATTTCCAGTATGAGAAGTCAACCAATTCACCATCCTTCCGAACAATAAATAAACACCTTGAGCTTTCAAAATCAGGATGGTATCCTACCTGTCAAGAAAAACCAAGTGATATACAATGTTAAGAAAGTTGCATAAGAAAATCATTTATGCACTCTCTCTGACACATGCATACTTAAAATTGTAGAAATCCAAGAGCACAATCTAATTACTGCAAATAGCAAGCAATTAATTCTTAATTATTTCTCAAATAACACGGGTCCATGAGCACTTATCCTAAAACAAAGGGGTTACATGTTACTGACATGCGTTTCCGAAAATTAGGTAATTCCCACTACCTGACTCTTCACTAGAACCCTTATGTACTGTAAACCCTATAGCTAATATTTTGTTTCCGTAGCTAACAAACAATCTGCTGCTCTAAAACCATCTTTCAATCGTCTTCATTTCTCTTCCCCATTTTGTATTTGGTCTGTCCAAGTTTGTCTTGCTCTTTTTGCTGCTTCCCTCTGACCAACTCTTTTCACCATGCATTGATAATGCTTTTTCCTTCTTATTGTGGTCACCAAGATATTCCAAAAAAATCCCAAATTTCCTCAATTTATTCCACTCTAATTCGGATTCATTATTTTTTTTCCAGCTTCAATGATAGGTTTAAAAATCCCATTAGTCATCTGCATAATTTGATTCACAAACCATTTGGCAAAATGAAGCCCAATCCACTATCTCATATCGTGTTTACTAGTGAGATACATCACTGTTGCTTCTCATGTTTCTGTCTTCACTGGACTCTTCCTCAGTGTGTAATCTCCCTATCTCCTTGAACATCCTTCACCATGATCAATTTACATTGGATTTCCCTGAAATATTATTGCCATTGAGACTTAACAATTTCACTTTGTGTTTCCTTCCCTCTGTGTTTTGTTTCACTATCTGTAGCTCCATTTGCTCACAACAGAATCATCCCTTTCAGCACCATCAAAGATATCACAGGCATCCCATACCATACAATAGTTGGGGACTATCCACCTATGGATTGAATTTGATACTGCTTCATCGCTAAGAAGAGGATAGATGTCCTTTCCTATTAGCGGATTGGTTTTTCCTGCTATTTTTGCTACCTTCTAATACCCTGACATCATTCTCCGCCTGTGTAAGTATAACAATATGGTTCACTCTAGGTCCTCCTTTAACCTCAAACGATAAAACAGAGTACAGTAGTAGTCCTAAAAGGCAGTTTAGTGGAGCTCAATTATCATTCAATCAAGAAAACAGCAGTGCTGACCTTCCATAAACCTAAATTAAGCTACACTATTCCGCGAATATGAACAAACTCAAGAAGTGAACGAAGTTCACGGCTAACAGATTAACAAGTTTCAGATGGTAATTGTGGGTTAGCCATCACACAGAAAGTTCTACTTAAGGGCAACATATAATGTTTGCAATACAACCTGAAATATTTGGTACAACATTTTACCATGTTATGAACAGTGTTTACTAAAGCTATTAAGATAGGAAATCATTTCTTAGTTCTTCACCTCAAAATAAGATCCGTTTTATCTCCTTTTATTTTTGTACAATCATTTTATCTCCTGTTGAGATTGCCACACTAATTTCAAGGGCATGAAGTGAAGTTATCGAGTCATTCTGTCAAGAAGCGGCATTCGTGCATGGAGAGATAGAGAGATCAACCAAGGGCCAAATAAGAAAAAGCTTTTACAGTACAGCCTATGGACTGAAAGAAACCTCAGATGTTTTGATGGAGTCTCAACTCCAATCCACTTGTTGAAGGCCAGATGTCTGCTTAGTCTTTTTTGTTGGGCCAAACAGTCCTATGTAAATAGCTCTACTGTCTTTTTAGATTTTTTGAGCTCCCTCACTCTAAACTAGCCTGTTAAGGTATATTTTTTGGTTATTGGCTAGTTCCCAGATCTATCATAACATCTTGTAATGGAGCTAGCATCTCTATTTTTGTAATCACTGCATCTACTTGATGCCTTACAATGAAGCAACTTACTTTATAATAATAATATTAAACAAATAAAAGCTTTTACAGTACATCTCAATATGAAGTTTCGCGCATCAAAAGTATCACTAGATTGCTTATAAAAGCTTAAAATATCTTCAGAAAGAATGCATGCCACACAAAATAAGAGCATTTCCGCACAAGAAGCAAATATTAGAGAGTATACAAAAGATCATTAGCTGTACTCGCTGAGAAAGTAAGTACACCAAAAAACAGACCTAAATGAGAAGAGAGATAGATGCTATGTGAAATAACAATGCAGGTGGATACGTAAATGAAGCAAAGAGGAGGATGTCATACAGTAATGTAATCAACTCCAGAGCCAATCTTCTCTTTACATTCGGGATGATATGGAAGCAACCTTTGTAGAATAGTTCTCTGATGATCAGGACTTAACCTATCGCCAACTGCATATCTGCAAGTTGTAGATTGAACAGATGAAATGATATCAACTTTGAGGTGGGGGTTGAACAATCACTTAATTATAAGAATAGATGAATATATGGGGTCTAGAGGTTGAAAACTATGGCTCTGCAATATTTCATATGTCATAGGCATACCGGACGTATCACTGAGGTAAGTACAATTTTGTAAAACATGCATCTCTTGATAACTATCTTATCTCTAATCTCTGCCAACAACTCCAGAAACAACTCCGTTCAAAATAAAGGAAGAGGGGGCGAAAACAGATTGATGACCAACTTAACCTTAATTAGAACTACAAATCGTAATTCAATACCCGAGATGTTTTTTTCCTTAGTTTCTGTGATAACAACAAAACAAAGTGGTGACTCAATTAAGCAGTTCAAAGTCTCACTTCATCCACAACACTATTCATCAACCAGATATAAACATTCACCAAATGCTTTCTTTCAGCATGGAAATAGAGCTTTAACTATAAAGAAATAAATTGCCCAGGCTTCTAGATAAGGCAGTATCTGCTGCATTGACTATTTCTACTGCTATAAGAAAGTAGTAGCTTTCCAATAGAATTTCTTATAGTTACTAAACAAAGAGAATGCCAAAATAACAACTTGACCTACAGAGATTGGGAACTGATTGAACATAATATATCTGCAAAGCTATAAGAAAAGATCTGGCAGACCATTGAAAATGTACGTATATCCTCTAAGTGTACATTGAAAATTCATATATATCCTATTTTCGAAATAAACGCACACAGACAAAGCATGTATGAATCAACAAACGAGTCTAACATTAGCAAATTCTGCAAAAGATAAGTAAAACTGAGAGCCTTACTTTCCAGAATGAAGAATCATTCTAACAAAACCAACAAGCGGCACAGTATCCTCCAAAATCTGGTCCTCCCAATCGACCCAATTTTGTTCATCTCCATTTTTCTTCTCAACTTCATCATCAGACTCCTCCTCCTTCACCAACTCCTCGCCGGCTGACGACGACGACGACTCCAACCCCGTCGAAATCACCGGCTTCCGCAACAGCTCCGCGTTATCGCTGCGACTCCCGCCGCTTTCAGAACCGGTCTTCACCGCCGCGCAATGGCACAACCGCAAACGGGAGAAAGAGAGAGAAGACGGAGCTAGTAGTAGGTGATGATGAGAGATTGAGCTAGGGTTAGGGTTTGAATTAGGGTTGTTTCTGCATAGGAAGTGAAAATTAGGGTGATTTGAAGTGCAAATTGAAGCCATTTTTTTTAAATTTGAAAAACGCCTTTTTTGGATTTATTGTTCTACTTAAGTATTCAACATTTTAGCAACAGGTTGAAGAATTGGATATACTTCAGAAGTAGCTGAGAGAATCTTCTCGTGGCAAAGTACTGTGCAGAGCTCGAGTTGCTACTGCTTTACCATTCGCCGAAGAAGAAGATAAGTGTAAAACAGCAAGCTTACGGCTTTAGCGCTTTAATTGGGCGGCCCGAATCATCTATATTCGGATATCGGGTGTTGGAATCGGGTGGGTCTGACTACATTCAAGTAGGAGTTTCGGGTTAATCAAATTAATAGCTTGTTTGGTCAAACTTTTTTTTGGTCAAAAGTGTTTTTTTTTTGCCAAAAACACTTTTGGCCAAAACTTGAGGTGTTTGGCCAAGCTTTTGGAAGGAAAAAAAGTGCTTTTGAGGAGAAGCAGAAGCAGTTTTGGAGAAGCAGAAAAAAGTAGCTTCTCTCCAAAAGCACTTTTTTGAGAAGCACTTTTCAGAAAAATACACTTAGAAGCAGTTTTTTAAAGCTTGGCCAAACACTAATTGCTGCTCAGAAGTGATTTTCAAACTAATTAGCCAAATACAAACTGCTTCTCACCAAAAGTACTTTTGAAAAAAAACACTTCTCAAAATAAGCTGATTTTTGCAGTTTGGCCAAACGGGCTATAAGACAAGTCATGCACTCATTCATGCTCAAAACCTATCTAAATTTTGTTTGGAATAAAAAATGAAATGCCAAAATGAGTTTATGACTTATTGAGTGGATATTAATTCGACTCGTCTATTTAGAGCTACTTTTCAATTTGTTTGCTACGACTACTTCTTATCTAAATTTTGGGGTGTACATAGTTGAGTTTAAAAATGAAAAATTAACTCCATTGTGCGATATGGAAAAATTCTTAGAAAAAATACAGTAAGCTAAAATCAAACTTTATATTCCAAAATAAATTGTTTTTTTTTTTAATTTTGAAAAAAGTCACTAATCAGTTGATTGGGACTAGTAATATAGCCCAAGTTCTGGCGAGAGGTGGTAGTATTCCGTGGAATTAGTTGAGGTGCGCGTAAGTTGGCCCGAACATTATGATTATCTCAACAACAACAAAAGTAACCCAAATTTATGTATCATTAAGGAAATTTTACCTCTTATAGCAAACTATTATACTATATTTATTATAAACTAAAACAATTTCAAAATATTATTACTTATAGCTACTTTTTCTATTTTATAGCAAAATAGATATTTGTTTTATATACCTACCATTGAGACATGAAATACGCCAATTATGTTCTTTTTCTCTCTCTTTCTTCTCTATCTTCCTTCTCTCTATCAGCAAGATTCTCAATCCTCTCTATTCTCCCTCAAATCAGCAGAATCGTCGGCGTCTTATCTTTAAATTTGAAGAATTCTAATCGTTTATGTAGTCACATATGTTATAAATTCCATGGATCAAAATTATCAAGAACACCTTCCCGTTTGGACTATTCATCCTTGACCAACATCTCAAAAGTAAGGATTATTAATTTCTTACTCGACCAAATGAATGATGGTCTCAAAGTCTGAAAATTAAGAATGCCCGAAAACGCTTGGCCGTTAAATACATTATTTTGCTCGCCCGGAAAATGCCATCTCCAGCAAACTTTCTTCTCTTTGTTTATTCTAGAAACGGATAACAATTGAATTTATACTGTGGTTTTAAGGACACGTGATTTCACTTGGCACAAACTAAGAGAAAACGTAAATTGATATTGAAATTGACAGTAAAAAGTAATTAAAGCAAACCAAATGAATCAAGTAGCCCTGGCCCTCGAATTTGATCACCCTAGAACCAGGTGAGGATTCAGTTGATACAATAACAAAGTGACAGAAGTATTGAGAGCTTAAGAGAAAGTGAATATATAGCTTTATGTAACATTAATCTAATGCCCTTTACAAATGGCCATACCCCCTTTATATAGTAGGGGAGTCCTATTCTTGGTACAACTCTAAATACAGTAATAAATCCCATGATTGGCTAATTAATCAGCCTCTTCTTGATACGTGCCGAGGTTTGCGCCATGATCCTCGTCCCATTGCAGATATTTCATCTTTCCATTATTCGACCCAGTAAGCTTCCCTCGATCTCTATCTTATTTGGTCTCGATCTTGATCGATCTCGATCTCATTCGGTCTCGGTTTTGGTCGGTATCGATCTCAATCGGTCTCGTGGTCTCGAGCTTGACAACCTAACCTTGCACCATAGTTAGATATAAATCGAAGCCGATCTTTGACTTATCATGCTCCTCCCTCGATCAGCTACATGAAAAGGGCAAGCCCGATTTTGACCGTATACAGATAGTCCCCTCATTTTTTGGAGAGTAATGACAAGAAACGACTTGAGTCCTCTATCTTCACCTCGATACATCATGACATAAGCACCATGACGTAAGCAACACAGGTAACCGAAACGTCTCGTCGGTATAGTTTCCTGGGCATTTAATGCGAGCCAGTCGACAGTCGGCCACTACCGGATTTGTACCGTCATCCTAACCCTATAAATATATCTTTCTTCATTTTTCAAACTTTACTTACAAATCTTTTTCACTCTAATCTTCAAAATCCTTTGCCTTCCTCAGAGCTTTGTATTTCCAGATCATTGAGTTTCTTTACTTGTTTCATTACAAAATACCAAGCGTTCCTCCTCCGTTTTATTCTTCTCCATTTATAAAAATGGCTAATACTTAAAAAACCGTTTCACAAAAGGAATCCGCTTCTTCATCAAGGCCCGCCGGTGACGGAGCCGTGGCGAAACCTCCCCTAGAGGACTTCGTTCCGACAAAGTGCCCTACTGCTGCCGATTTTAAGGTAGAGAATACATCCTCGACACTGGGTCGATACGAACCGATGTCGAGATACATATGCACAATTATCGACGGTCTCCTCGACCAAGTTAAAAAGGACTGCAACTGGGTCGACAAGCATGTGGTGGTGCCCTCGCCTGAGGAATCAATCACTACTCATGTGGAAGGGTTTTAAATGTTTACACTTATCCCTTCACATTGGGTCCTTTATACCCCATCATCGTTGCCTTCTGCAAGAGGTACAATGTGACCCTTGGCCAGATCCATCCATCATTCTGGAGGATTGTGATCCTCCTCTGATTTTTTGTAAACAAGATCGAGGGGCATCCTTTTACCCTCAATCACCTTATGCGTCTCTACAGTCCCCGACTTTATCGATGAGGATTGATCACGCTTTACCGTCGAGCCACCAAACCCCCATTCTCGAGCATAGACGAGACCCGAGACCGAGGTTGGATGGGCCAATTTGTCCGAATAAAGACTTCGGACCTAATCCCTGCCGAAGACATGCCTTTTCCTGAAAAATGGAACATGAATTGTAAGTATTGCTTCGCCTTGAATACCTAACTTTGCCATTTTGCTTCTCATTTTCTTTCCTTATCTATGTTTTTTGTGTTGTACCTGTGACCCACATGCCGGAAGTAATACCCAATCTCAGACAATGGGTCGAGGGCTTAGTGTCGCAAAAGCCTTACTCCGAGCGTGCTTGGATGGAGTTATCAAAGGGTCAATGGGAGGCCCGTAACCATGGTAATCTTTGTTTCTTAGTACGGTTTCCATTCAGGCTTTGCATTGAGCTTACTCGTTTTTTTCTTTTTTCTTTTGTAGACCTCGGGAAGGATGTAGCAATGAGGCCCCCATCTGCTGAAGAAGAGGCACTTCTCTCATCATCTGCCCCGAAGTAGGCCAAAGAGAAGAAAAGAAAAGAGGCTCCGAGCTCTCCGGGACTGGAAAAGAAAAAACCGGCTAGGAGGCCCCGTAAGCCTAAGGGGAACGTCATTCGTCTAACTTTGGAGTCAGTCCAACGGCTAAGGGATGAGGCCGAAGAAGAAGAAGAAGAAGAAAAAGAAGAAGAAAACTCCGGGCTGGTGGCCCGTGTGCGAGCTGGCACCGAGATTCAAGGAACTAATGGGCCACATGGGAGCTGAAACTGCTTTGCCTCGATTTGACAAGGTCCCCGAGCCAGAGAGAGCTGAAGACGCTTCACCTCGAGATGAGAAGTCAACCGAGGAGGCGGTCGATGCTGGTGTAGAAACCATGCTCGAGGATTCCCGTGATGAAGGAAGAGCCCCATAAGATTTACTTGGGGCAATAGAGATTGGAGATTCCCCATCGTTGCCTTCGTTCTCTAATTCAATGATCAAGGACGCTCAAGCGATGGAGACTTTCCATGGTGAAGGGATCCATGGAGTAGAAGACCCTTTCCGTGGCTATTTTGTTGGAGTGGAAGATGTCACCGGTTTGGGTGACTTGGATGTACCGAGGAAGGGCTCGAGTGATGCTTCCTCGAGCTTTAAACTGACCAATTAGTTTTCGGCCCCCAGTGTCAATCCTGGGCGTAAGCGATCAATTATCGTTCGGTCCCGGAGGATGCTCAGGTTCTTTCTACCCCCGTAGGGGTGGCTAGCTATCTCCGATGCTTGGTCACCGAAGAATACCAAGCCAAGATGGACGAGGTGAAAGTTGCTTGTTGTTCAACGAGGCCCAGCATGCTTTGAATCGGGTAAGTTCGAGGGCCATTCCATTATCTTTTTAAAACTTTGAATTGTAGAAAGTTCTAACATTTTCTTCCTTACTTGTAGGCTTCGGTGTTGCATCACGAGGCCTTCCTTCGAATCCGAGAGGAGCGCGAGGCTGAGGTTCGGGGCTTTACTGAGAAATGTGATACCTACAAGCTTCTCAATGAGAAGCTTCAGGCAGATTTGGTGACGGCTCGAGATGAACATGTTGAGATGGCCGATCAGGTATTCCGAGTGCTTTATGATAGTGAAGATGAGTTGGGGATAACAATTAACGATCCGATTCTGCAGATTCGACAGAGGTTCGAACAGATCAAGGACCTTCAAAGGCAAATAGATGAAGTACAATCCGAGGCTGAAAAGTTTAAAGGGTGTATGGACATCTTAGCTTTAAAAAGGAGGCCGTCCAAGCAGAGCTGGAGTCGGCCGAGTCTCAGCTTCGAGCTGCAAGGGAGAAGGCCTCGGTACAATGTTGACACCCAATTTTTCCCTATATATTTTTAATATGCAAAATAACTTCAAAATGGTATATGTATGTATATATAAGTATATCCAAGTGTTTCATTACTTTTCCTCAATTTTAAAAAAAAAATTAAATCTATTTATTCTCCT